ATGAAAATAAACACACTTAAGTCAATAGACTCATGATGCGAAGATATTTTCCAAGCACTGAAATGTATTATGTTCTCTGGCGAGAGCACCACAGAATGTTCATTGCATATTTAATTGTTTTATTGTATATTTTATGGGAAACATATGTTTGGGAAAATATTACATGAACCCTTGTGGCTTTGCCAGACCGGCGAATGGAAATTCCGTATAAGAGTCGTATTTTTAAATATTTATAGTCGAAAATAGACGCTTATTACCGAGAAAATTACGCTTTTCCGAGTATTCTCGTGTGGTTTGAATATTTTGAAAGCTAATTTTTTTCTACAACCAATTTGAAGCCGACTTGATGTACAGATTTTTAAACTTTCACTAATTGAAATTCTATTCTATTCTATTAATATGGCATTCGATTGGGTCATTTAATAGAACAAACCACAAATGGAAAATTCGAAATTGAAATTCGAATAATAAATGAGACAAAAAATAGAAGTGAGAAAACGTGGCATTGGTAGAAGTAACTGCCAGTTAGAGGTTGCATTTTCTGTACAGCAAGTGAAAGCAGTAACATATCAAAATCAATTGGGACATGGGATCATGGGAAGAAGTGGTGCATTTTAAAGGTTGCACTTTGTGCAAAAAAATAACCGCATTCTGTGTGTTGGATTAAGTGTGCCACAAATAAATTGAATTCGTAGAGAAGAAGTAGGAACTGGAAAATCTGGGTTATCCAAAGCAATATGATCAGAATGCATGCACACAATCTGAAATGCATTTTATAAATTATGTAATGATTCGTTGGTTCAGCACACATATTTCGTGTGCTGTGAAAATAATTCAAATGATTTGCAGCAGCTAGCGCTGTACGAGAATGCTAATTCAATATTCTATTTGGTTTCCTCATGCGATTAATGTTGGTTGCTTGACGGTCGTCGTTGTCGTCGTCGTGTTATATCGATCGATGTGAAAGAGATTGTGCGGAAGTAGCAATCGATATGCGAAAGCGCGTTCTAGCTCCCACAAGCTCCCACACAATGACAAAGTGTCTTCATAGATTTTACTCTATCGCACGAGAAGCAATGGTGTAACCCGGTCCACATTTCCAAGAATGCGGATCCATTTTTTCGTGATAAAATTTCAAGTTAGTATTGGGAAATGATTTTTTGCGGCCATTGGAACTCCTTGAATTCGGTGCGAGGTTAAAATGAGGGTTGTATGTATACATATAAAAGTGCAATTTCAGCAATATTCGTGATTTTCTGTAGTTCAATGTTTCGGTTGTTATTTTTGCCAATGCAAATCATTTTTCATGGTTAGTTTTGACGAGATTTTCCGGAGTTAAAGCCCCATCACACAACACTGATATCCAGCACAAAATTCTCTGCCATCACCACTCGAATCAAAATGATGTGCACCCATTTTTTGATGCTTTGTTGTCTATGCCGTAAACTTTGCCGTTTTGTTGTCTATCTCTCTCTCTCTCTCTCTCTCTCTGTGTGTGTGTATGTGTGTTTGAGTTTCAATGATAATTTATTCGTGAGCACGTACTTCGTCTGTACACATAAAATAACGAAAAGATGCAAACAACATCATGTTTTTAGCATATTTTTCCTCTCTTTCCAGCTCTCAATACCATAACCATTTCCACTTAAGCCGAGACAAACGATACGCGCTCTCTTTCTCTCTCTCTTGCTCTCCTTTCATTTGATATATTTGCATTTTGTGCGAGCCCCGTTTAATGTGTGCATAAGCTTTTGCATGCATTCAGACGTCATTCGAGTTCCTAAAAACTCGGTATCATCATTTCATTCTCTGTCTCCGTAAAAATAAATACTTTTACTACTTGATGCCGTTGCTACTGGCTGTTGCTGGCGTACGTTTTTCCACATCGGCGCTGCAACAAACAAAAGTTAAGCGATTCACATTGAAAATCGAGAGAGATTTTTCCTTCTAATTTGTATTTTGTTATGTCGTCATCTCGCGTACACAGAAAGACAGAGAAAGCGACCGACTGAAGAGAGGACAAATTTAAAACCCTCAATATTAATCATGCTGCAAATTTCAACTGACATCTGACAAATGATTCAACAAACGCAAATTCATAACTTTTCTGCTAAATTGACCGAATGTTATGCATATATATCGTGATACTGTCTACGAATGTTGTTATTTAGACGGAAAATCTAACATACAAAAAGGAGGGAAAAAAATCTGAATAAATAAAACGAATGATGGGAATTTTTCATGTACAACTTTCTGTTTATTTTGACCGATTTGAAAGTTTACGAGTAAACAAGAAAAAAGGCATAGAAAATGACAAAAGATATGGTTTTCGGCATTTTGATTTTCCATCCAATTTTCTTTCTTTGTTTTTTAAAGTCAGATACTTCTGCACAACAACCTCATAGGTCGACAAAAGTCTTTTAGTGCAATATTTTATCGAGAGTTTTCGTGATTCATGAGAACAATAAAACGATATATTGAGAAATAAGGCATTACCTTCAATTTGTTTTTCATTCAGGTCAATGTTCCGTGTCGGCTGAACGAAATGTCGTAACATTTTTACATGGCTACTTTTCAACCTCCGTTTAGAACGAATGAATTGATAACATTTTTTGTATTTCAGTTCAAGTTTATTCATTTTAAAGTGCAGGTTAATCATATCCTATTAATCAATTAGTTAGTTAGCTTAGACTTAGTCAGTTTCAATAGTTTCATTGTTGGCCAGTTCGGTTGATAGAGTCATCAACAAGAAATAGTTGTTTAAACACATTAAATAAATAAATAAAATAGACTGATAAAGCAGAGATAAAAATAAATATTATTAGTAAGAAACAATTTTCAATGCATAAAAAATATCATTTGAGCTTTCGAGCCATGCAAGTTCCCCAATTTTTTCATTCAAATTGTTGAACATTGTTCAATGAACAATATTCTTTTTTATCATTTTTCGAAAAAAAACTTGGAAAAAAATGAAAATCTCTCGTTAAAAACCAAGACCACCTATTACTAAAGATATTTAATCTATAAAATAGTTCAAAATTCAATTGCGTCGTTCCAAATGAAGTTTGGAAATTTTAGAACCGCAATGAGTTATCACAAGCTCATCTCCGAATCCATCATTTCCCAAGGCTTCAACAATTGGCTGTAATTCATTCCATCTTTCTGTGAAAATTGATTGATAAAAATAAGACGAAAAAAATCAGTAGCAAGAGAGTTGACTTGTTTGGTCCAACTCTTCGAAAAATCAAGATATCGAGAATCCCGCAATGCTATGTTCAATTGTTGGAGAACAACATATGGTTTCTTTGAATTTTAATTTTAAATGTGTTTCGTGGGTTTCAAGGACACACAAGTTTTGAATCGGCATACTGAAATATGAATATTCACAGAAAATTCAACAAATAAAAGAAGAAACAAAAATATCGGCTTTGATATTACCACGAAATTGAAGCATTTTGATGACACATTCCGTGTGTACCTGTACATGCCATCAAAATGCTTCAATTTCGTGGTAATATTAAAGCCGATATGTTTATTTCTTCTATTATTTGTTGAATTTTCTGTGAATATTCATATTTCAGTATGCCGTTTCAAAACTTGTGTGTCCTTGAAACTCACGAAACTCATTTAAAATTAAAATTCAAAGAAACCATATGTTGTTTCCCAACAATTGAACATAGCATTAGAATTATGCATATTTTTTCGACATCGCCAAAAATGTCGCCACGATTCATATTCTGTTTTCATTCAAACTGTTGATTTTTCTGCTGTACTAATAATTCAGAATGGATCATGATCAGACATCGTTAGATTAACTCAGGTTTATGTTAAATAATTTTCATTGATCTGTCCAGCGGGATTCTCGATTTCTTTGATTTTTCGAAGAGTTGGACCAAACAAGTCAACTCCCTTGCTACTGATATTTATGCAATTTTCACAGAAAGATGGAATGAATTGCAGCCAATTGTTGAAGCCTTGGGGAATGCAGGATTCGGAGATGAGGTTGTGATAACTCATTGCGGTTCTAAAATTTCCAAACTTTATTTGGAACGACGCAATTGAATTTTCAACGACGCACTGAATTCAAATACGATTCAAATTGCAACAATATCAAGTGTATTTTTTCAAATTTATCACGTACATAGCGAATATTATGAATATTTTTTCAAAATATTTCTATGGTATTTTATTTTTCAGTGGTGAGAATAAATATTGTTTCGACACACGAACTCTAGGGGGATTTCTCACACAAAAAGTTTGAGCAAATGTGCAAAAATGTCTATTATTTCTTCTTTTTTATTGAAATTGTATGAAAATGTACTGAAATGACGATTTTGCTTGAATAAAAGTGTTCTGGATGTGGGTTTCGGAGGATCCTCAGGATCGTTCAGAACTGCTCCAGATTCTGGAAGTGGATTTTGGTGGATCCTCAGGATGGACCAGATCCGGTTTGACATTGCCCTGGCCCATCCTGAAGATCCACTTCCAGAACCGGGAGCAGTTCTGAACGATCCTTGAGATCCACCAAAAGCCACTTCCAGAACAATTTCATTGAAGCATAATTCAAAAGTTCAGTGTAAATGTACATTTATTTACACGAATTGACAAAAATTGATCGAACCGGACCGAATTGAAGAAAATTTTCAAAATTTATAAGAATTCATTCATTTTTTTCGTGAGAAATCCCCCTAGCACGAACTGGGAATTCCGACCACAATATTGAAATATTCAAGAAATGTGTTAAAATTATAATCTAATCATTTGCGTCAGCAGAGCGTCTGTTTTCAGTAAGATTAGTGGAAAAGGAATTGTATAAATTTGCTGGACATTTTGAGCATTTTATCAGTAATATTCAGTCAATTGTGACTTTGTTCCAATACAAAATTTATAGTGCAAAAAGAAAACTCGAATAAAATATCTAACTATCGTTCAGCTAGAAAATATTTTGGAAAACCGAAAGTAAAACCATTGCTAAAAAATCAATTTTCTGTTTTGATAGAATGCGTTCGGTGCGAATTTTATTTGGTGTATCGCTGTTTTGTATTCATCAGCTTACCGTTTATTCGGAGTTTCCAAATCCTCCCGTGTATCCTGCTGCGGTCACTCTAATCAAAGAGCATCGTGCTCTGGTGCAAGAATTGAAAGAAAGAGAAACGATTTTGAGTTTTGGCAATGCTGAAGATAAAAATAAATCACAAAGACAAAAGATAATTGACCAAATAATCAATAAGACCATAAAAGATGGAGCTGTCCAAAATTTAGAGACGTTGGTTAATGAAAAACTAATGATATTGAAGAATTTAGCAATTGAAGAGGGTTTGAAAAAGCCGGATCAATTCCTTGGCGTTCATGATTTTACCGATATTTTAGTGGAAAGTAGAGAAACCGATCTACACAAAATACTCATAAAAATGCCAAAAGGCGCTAATCTACATGCTCATTCAACATCCATGTCAACACTTCAAACCTTACTAGAAATGCCAACTAGAAAGTTTTGTGGAGCCGATTATGAGAATGTGTATGTTCTACATAACAATTATGACTATTCAGACATAAGGGGCTTCAAAGTTTCAAACCAACCACCAACTTCAACTGAAAAGAATCTGCAGTATAGCAAACTCAAGGAGGTGATGTTTTCTAACAAATATGGTGAAAAAGGATTCATTGATGGTCTAAAATCAATTCTGACACTCAAATCAATAGACAAACATCATGGTGAAGAGTAAGACTGTTTTTTCTAAATCATTAGCGTACAGCACAACCTTGAATAATGCTTTGAATTTTTTTATATTTTTCTGTGATAGGGCTTGGACAGCAATGAGTAAACCATATGCCGTGCTCAATGGTTTGTTGAACTATGCGCCATTTCTAGAGAAGATTATTGAAAAGAGTCTCGAGGAGATGATGAAAGAAAATGTTCAATACGTCGAAATCAGAGCTACTTTTGGAATGGTATATGATTTGAAAAAAGTGTTGTCACCCGAAGAAACGTTCCAATTTTATAAGGATGTTTGTACGAAATTCACAAAGAAGCACCTGGCTAGCGGAATGCCGAATCGAGGAATCTTTGCGAAAATAACTTTTATCGGACCTGTTGGTCCGACGAAAGAACAGCATGAAGACTTCTTCAAAATCTATAAAAGACTGGTGAAGAAAGATAAAGAAGCCTATCCTCTCTTCTTGAATGGCTTTGAATTGGAAGGCCCCGAAGATGGTATGTCTCCAGCAACACCTACGTTAGATTCCTATGTACCATATATCAAAGAACTGGACACATACCTAGAGACCAATGAAAACATAACAAATATGAACTATTATTTCAACGCTGGTCAAACCAAAACGTATAAAATTTCCGATGAAAATTTGGTATGTAAACCACTGTTATCTTCATTTTGCAAACTGCATAAAAAAATGAAAATGAATTTTTAAATGAATTTTCTCATTCAGTATGATGCCGTAATGCTAGCTAAACGTATCGGTCATGCTTATACTCTTCCTAAACATCCGTACTTGATGGAATTAGCCAAGAAACGTGATGTATGCATCGAAGTCAGTTTGACTGCAGATTTAGCGACGAAACTAAATTTCGACTTACACTCGCATCCGATGAGCGAAATGTTAGCCAACAACGTTCAAATGGTAATTACGCCGAAGAATCCAGCTTTCCAGGACTCAACGATGACCGATGATTTCTATCTCGCTTTTGTATACGTTGCCGCCCAAGAGCATGATTTGAGTGTTTTGAAAAAGTTGATTCTCAATTCGTTTAAATACAGTGGCATGAACAACGAGGAATTGACCGAAGCGGTAGAAGCATGGGTTTCAAAATATATGAAATGGTTGAAGGAGACTAACCAAACATTATCTGCAACGAAAATGAAAGACGATCGAAGAAAACTCGAGTGGCTAAGTATGTAATTTGCGGAAAATTTTATTAGTTCTTTTGAATAATAATTCATTTTCCTTTTGTTTCGCTTTTTGTACAGAACTAGAGAGAACTGATTTCTTCAAGGATGTGGTTACGGATGAACTTAGAGAACAGAAATATCCAAAGAATGAATATCCAGCAATAAAAGAAATAATTAATGCACGTAATAAAAGGGTGAATGAGGCAAAATCTAAAATTGATGTGATTAAAATGGCCAGGGAGAAGGTCCCTCTTCTTAACAAGAAAAAAGCAGAATGGAAAGAGATTGCTAAGCAAAACATGAAGAAAATCGAAGTAGACTCTTGGGTAGTCCGAGTAGCCAAAAAAGTGTCTGGCGAATAAAAATATTTATAAATATTCTACGAATCTGCACGAAAGCTGTTCAATCACATTCTGTGATGTTTTGGTGCAGGTTCGTAGAATGTTTTTATGTAGACTCTAGAAATACCATGTAGAAAATTGAGTTGTTGCAAAAAACGCAATGTAACTTTTTTTAATGTTCAAAATAATGATTCTCACAACAACCGGCGAATGCACAGTGCACACACATTGAAAAAAGAACATAACATCAAGCATTGTGAAATGTCAGAACAAAATTTTTTACATGGTATATCTATAATTAGTTCCGAAGTCAACTGTGGACTTATGTGCGGAGGTGCGTGGAGTTAGACGAAAACAGTTTATATTGTTAACAGTTTTTGTCTTACGTTTGTTTTGTATACTGTTCTTGTCTATCTCCGCACAGCTCCGCGCATTTCCGCACAAGTCCACAGTTTGAAAACCTGAACCTTTCTTCGAAATATTTACTTCCCATCTCGGCTACTAAATGAAGCATCCGCTTGCATGTGCATAATGGTCTATCTACTCTCAGAATTCAAAGGAGGCAAACTAAAAAAAAATATAGTGTAAAACATCAAATTACCCACTGTGTTTTGCCATTGTAGGCAAAATGTAAGTTTACCTCCATTGTTTTAAAAATGTAGGTAAACTGACATTTTGCCTACAATGGCAAAACACAGTGGGTAATTTGATGTTTTACACTATATTTTTTTTTAGTTTGCCTCCTTTGAATTCTGAGAGTAGATAGACCATCATGCACATGCAAGCGGATGCTTCATTTAGTAGCCGAGAACTACTACTCTCAGAATTCAAAGGAGGCAAACTAAAAAAAAATATAGTGTAAAACATCAAATTACCCACTGTGTTTTGCCATTGTAGGCAAAATGTCAGTTTACCTACATTTTTAATACAATGGAGATAAACTTACATTTTGCCTACAATGGCAAAACACAGTGGGTAATTTGATGTTTTACACTATATGTTTTTTAGTTTGCCTCCTTTGAATTCTGAGAGTTATAGTGGGTCAAAATAATTTTTTTCAAAATTTAGATGATTCTTTTCTTAAAGTATGAAAGTTTTATATTTTAATGATTTGTTGAGATTTATTGAGCAGAAAAAAAAAATATTCCAACCCGAGACCTTGTAGTGTATTCTTTTTATTCACATTTCTATTGATGAAACGTTCAAAACCATTAGTTGGAGGCAAGATTTTGAAAGAAGAAATGAATCTTTGGAAAAAGAATGACTGCATTTGAGAGAACGATAGAGCAAAAAAAAAATCGAAATTACCGCGTCTTTCATTGCTGTAAATTGTGCAGTACAGAGCGAGAAATCACATTTACAATGTTTCATTTACGTTGCATTTATGCGCATAATTGAGGACACGATTTTGTGATTCGTTCTTTGGAATAACTAAACTAGTGCTCTCTTTCGGTTGTTTTCGTTTGGGATCCGATAGCTTTTTTTTTGCCGTGATTCGCGTTGGAATTATGCTTGACTTACTGTGTATGTGTATGCACGCTGAATATATTCTCCCTTGTTCGCTCTGCATCCGAATAGAGAAGCATAAAATCTCTAGGGATTTGGTAGAAAAAAATATCCGTAAATAACAAACACATATCGACGAGAGTAGAGAGAATGCCGTGAAATGGAAGTGTGTATGGAACGGGAAATGGCTTTGTATCTCTGAAGTCGATTAGCGGTGCTTCGATTCAGAGCGAGAGAGGAGGAGTGAGAGTGCGCACGCTGTCTATGAATCCGTTGTGAACGATTTGCATGCATTCCTTTAGGGACTTGGATACATCACATTTACCTTTTCATTTGCTTGCATTAGATTCCACTCAAATTGATCCATTTTCTATGCAATTTGTTTTGTTTTGCTCGGGTAACAGAGAAACAGACTTGCTGCGCTCTGATAACAGATTTACTCACTCAAGTACAACGCGATCCGTTGTGAAATTCTAAACATTTTGTGTGGGTGTGGGTGTGTGTGTTGTGATTTGGATTGAAATGCACCGGAAATATATGTTCTGTCATGACTATTCCCGTATTTTCTTCGTTGTTGTTACAAAAACTATCGATTCGGCTGCTTCTTTTGAGAGATAATAAACACTAAGTGAAACTTCAGACAAACGTGATTTGGAATTCATGTGTTCGTCGCCTCTTTTTATTTCGGAGAAACTTTGGCACGCTATTGAAATACGACAATATTGAATTGAACAATGAAAATAGATTCGTTTTGCATAAATTTTATTTGCCGATTTTTGCACCAGCGAGAAGAGAATTGCAAATTGGTGCGACGACGCATTTGAAATTGGCAACAATTCTTGTGTTGTGGATTTGGTGCGGCGCATTTTTTTCGCTATCGTTTTCTTTTTGCTCAGCGGAAAATAAATGTTATTGCTTGAATTATTCATTGGATATAGGCTCAATCGGTACAATTCCTTGCGGACCGATTTTCACATCGATCCGCTACTCTTTTTTTTTCTCCTTGTAAAAAAAAGAAACACCATAGAAATGGCCATAAAATGTCGGAAGCAACGGAAGCCAGTTTAGAAAACGACAAATTGAAGACCATTCGACTGGTTATTCGCACATTCAAAATTTGAGCAACAAAATTTGTATTTGCAAAACATATGCGATTTTAACCCCAAGAGCCAAATCGATTCTCAACGTTTCGTTTGATGTTGATCTACGTCAGACCAAAAAAAGGAGGCATCAAACGGAAGCGCAGAATTTTGTCATCAAAAAGGTTTGTTTTGCATATTTCTTTCTTCGTCCAGGTTTTCGATTTGAAGGAATTATATCGGAAATTCATTTTGATATTTTAAACATGAAAAAATGAAATAAAAGAAAGCGTTGTAACTAAAATGTGCAAAAAAATTCGATTTTTTCAATGAAAGTTTTACTTTTTGGTCGAGATTAAATTCTCGATCTCTCATTATCGCTCATTAAATATCGAATACATACAATTCGGTTTTGCAATCGATCAAAAATGCAAAGACTTGAAAAAAAATATTGAACGTTGTTAATTGAATAACCGCTGAATGAAAAAAAACTGCAAAATCAAAAAGTTAAGCGGAGAGCCGGAGTAATTACGTTTCAAATGGATGGAAAAATTGAAAATATTAACGAAATAATTGAATTGCATCAATTATAAATGCGTAAGTTCATATTCTGTTTACGTAATTAACGAACGAACCGTATTCCATTTTGCTGCAAAATAAATGGACTTCATCATGAGCTGGCGAGAGCGAAATACGCATAGCGCAAATATATCCATAAATGGAAATGGTTTTGCGCGAATGCTACGCAAATTCGATGATGGTAATACTCTGGAAAATGCAACCGGTTATTAAATGCACGATGTTTATTATTTAATTATCATATCATGTGAACGTGTGTCACTCGGCCTCAGTGAACAGTAAGATATTTCCGCTTTTATTTGCGGACACTAAATTATTAAATCGAAAATCCATGGTCATTTCTTGTTGTTGTTATTGCTATTCAAAAAGGCATCTTCGACTATGACGAAAATTCAATTTAATTCCAATTTTCCACATATGAGAGCACAGTTAGTAATGCCATTTCCATGACAAAATCATCTCAACCGGAATTCCTATCAATCGAAAATGGACGAATGGTAGCCGATAACTACGCCAGCCCATACAATGTGTTTCTTTTCCACTCGAGACGACAACAAAGCGTGCCCGTTTGTTCTTATACTTGATTCATTGACCGACAAATCAAAAGCATGGCACATAAAATGCTTGCCGACGAATTCGTCGGGTGCACGCAACGTTAAAAAAAACGATTATGAAATGTTTAAAAGGGCACAAAAAAGCGGGAACACATCCGCTTTGTGGTGCTTTCAACAAGCGCACACGGCTTTTGATGAACCGACACAAATAAAGGCCGGTGACGTGCTGACGCTTGCTCTTTATGTGTGTATGATTACCTGAGAAACGCCCTTAAAGCACACACACACACACAATCTCAGCACAACGGTCATATTCGGCCCGATATAATGGGCAATGTTTATGTTTAACAAGAAATTAAATAACTTTCAGTAGGTGAATTTGATTGCGATGGCAATTACCTGTGCTCCAAATGAACCATTTACGTTGTTGTTAATAGATTTTCGACTGGCATTTTTATGACCGACTTCCTCCTCGTTCAAACCTCACTTTGTGGCCATTCAACATAATTATTATTGTTAGTTATCGACTTTAGGTGTGTTTCGTCATTGATTTTACTTCCTTTTCATTTTGAAGTGCTTGCGCACATATTAAAAACACACGATAAGAACAACAACCTAATGCAACATACAAAAAGCGGCTGCAACTTTTAACGACGATATTAAATTTCGATGCTTAACATATGATCTGATTACGAATTTAAATTGAATATTTCATTGAAATGGAAACAATTGAATGCAAGTAATTGTTCTATTGTTAGGCCATATGAATGAGTCTGCGTCTGATGAACGATCATTGAGCTTCATCATGTGCCATAATGTCGCTTTTGTGTTACAAAATCTTTCCATTGAAATACAAATTAACTCATAGACGTCAAAGATCGAATGCACGCAACCCGTTCTACGACTAAAATAAATAGTTTTCTTCCTAATTTCAATCGTGTCTGCTCTCCTCAATTTTGTCCAAAATTATAAGAAAAGGACAGCCAAAGAAGATGGGTTGCTCTCTGCTCGATGTGAAAAGGGACGCTCAAATAATAACGCTCAGATGCTTTCTATAATAATATTAAATTGAATCTCATTGAGAAATTTAACGACAACACAAAAGGCTCTGTCAAGACCCATAAATGCTGCTTTGCTTGTATTATCATCGTTGACATAAATGAGTGGAGCTTCAGAAACTATCCGCATACACAAAGGATTGATGTTGGTTCGTCTTTTGTTCGTATACACATTCACTCTGTGTCGTTCCACTTCAAGTTGATCCGATGCGATCCGTTTGGTTTAGTGTTGAGTTATATTCAATTTTGTTGCGGTTAATTTGCGTTTAAGCTGGAGAAAATGACCATTTTGCTGTGGACAGAAGCAACACCTTCATTTTTCT